GATCAAAATCAGGTAAAAAAAATGAGAAAAGTCAATTCATGTTTGCCACGGAACATCATTTTGCCAAATCAACAAATTGAGTGGAACGAGTTACATAACAAAGTTTTGAGTCCACGCGCACGCAGCCGAGCGATGATGACGATGAAAGAGCGATAGCCGCGACTGCAGTTTTTGCAGAACTGGACTGCGCTGGCTGCTGCAGATGATGCCATGCGGTTGGCGCGCGGGCGCAAGGGGATGACTGCGCTGAAATTACGCCTCTGAAAATCTTTCAAAATCAATTCCTACCGCGCAAAGATTGGACTAGGGCGTCTATTTCGCTTCAATGTTTTTTGAGAATATACTCTGAACGGTCAGCAACACGACAAATCTCGATTTTTCTTGTACTCTTCCTGACCTACCACCAGACTTCAGCACCAGTTTGCGGCCTGTAGGTGCTTGATTCTTGAGGAAATATATATAAATGTCTGAAATCGCTCCGTCTCGATTTATCCCCAAAAAAGCGTTTGGGTGAAATATACACCCAGAATACTTGCTTAACGCAGGAATTGATGTTTTAAACCGCATAAAGGCACTTCTTTCAGGTGCATCTTCATTTTTGGCCGTCCCTTGTCTCCGCCTTATGTTGGCCGCAAGGTCGACGCCGCGCAACCTATGGAGATTGCAACGCCCGCTGTCACGGTCATTTGTTTAAGACTTGCAAGTGCGCAAGTCAAATATTTGTGACACAGTTGTTCTTGCTAACCGATTCTGACTAAAGGCTTAACATCCCCAGACAAACGCGGGTTGACCATGTTAATACAATTTGTCACCCAATTTCCATCTGCGATCTACGCTCACGGGGTCCTTCTTGGCTTTACAGAACCCATAGGCAGATGTGACAAAGCTTCTTATCTCTATCGGTTTAGAGAGATAGTGCAATATAAGAGTACAATAAAACACGGTAAAATGAAAAGATCTGGTGGTTTATTCCATGCAGCCACTCAACGCTCGCTTCCTTTATTATATATATATTTTTTTTTTGACTGCTGTATGCAGACAGAATGGAATCTTCCCACAGTTTCGGGCTTCTGTTTCAGTTCTCGATGTTGAAATAGAATGAACATCGAAAATAGCACCCCTTTGGAAGTAAGTGGGCGATATCCAGTGATATCTCTACGGAGGCTATTTCACGACCAGAGTTTTTTGCCAATGCTGTGCCCTCCCCCCTTACTAAGTCCCTGGCTGCGTCCCTACATGCAAAGTTCACACGTCACTTTAAGCTGAATTTGGCTAAATCTCATGGATCAATATCAGTTAGCTGAAAAGCAGTTTGCTGTACTAGATTGAATCAGGACTGTGGTTTGTGGAAAAAGACGAAAGATGATCGGATTGCATTTACTTTGTAGTATTGGATTGGACTAGATCCTGAAGAGTGAAAACCAACGTTTTACGTTCAAAAGTGCGTGCGCCGTAATATCGTGGTACCCGTTTCGCATCTCACAGTGAAAATCCGAGGAGCATCATGCCGCAAGAAACTTCAAATTTTCGTTAATTTCTTTCTTCTTCAAATTATCACTTTCACGGTGGTAGTGAGATGACCACACACAAAGGCTTTCGAATGGGGATCCTGTTTTGGTGATAAGTGGTACGTAGCTACTCTTGATATGTTACGTCTTAATAAGTCTACGCAATCCACCATGCCCGTATGTTCGGCGCAGATTTATTTCATTCACTATAATGCTTATATATAACTGGCCACAATGAGGCACATTGAAAAATAAACAGTGGTCTCAGACATCTTGATTCCAAGTTGGCACTAATGCATGACAAACGAACACACACGGACAAATGTCCACTGCCACGGCCACGCGGACAAACGGATCACGGCTCGAGCACGCGAACGTGAACATGGGATCATAAAATGATACATACAAATTCTGAAACAGATTCGTTGTTGTGCTCCCTCTGCTTAGGGGAAAATTAGGTTGCACGCCCCTCGCAGCCCTCCTCACTGCCGCAAAGACCTCAGATGCCGATCTGGAAGTCGTGACATTTACATGGCGGGCATGGATACCCACGCAAATACACATTACACATTTAAAGACACCCGACGCTCGTGAATAGTACGTACACACGCATATGGCAAGTTTTCAAAATTATCGCGACCGGACGCTCACTTCCGATTCATGGACGAATTGTACATCACCCGACATCGGCCAAACTTCCTTCTCTGGGCGGTGACGTGATCATCTGACCAGCAGATGGCCTGATCAGTCGTTCAAATGTTGACGGGTGATGCGGTCTCGAGACCCCGGCTAGGCATTGGGTGGGCTGTACAGGCCGGACGGCGGACGCACAGTGTCGGCTGGGGGGATGTACTGGCTGGGCAGCGGCGCCGGCCCCTGGGGTTGTGCCACGTCCGGCTGCCGGCTGGGGCGCGCTGTGGACGCCGAGCTAGGGCGAGGTGGAGGCTGCGGCGGCTGAGGCTGCTGCTGCGGCGGCGGTGGCTGCTGGTACGAGCTCGGCGGCTGCTGCGGCTGCGGCTGCGGCTGCGGCTGCTGCTGCTGCTGCTGCTGAGGCCGCTGGTACGAGCTCTGCGGCTGCTGAGGCGTCTGCTGCGGCGACTGGGGTTTTGCCTGCGGCCGCGGCTGCTTCTGCAGCTGGGGCTTGGACTGAGGCTGGGGCTGGGGCTGCAGTTGCGTCTGCGTCTGCGTCTGCGTCTGAGGTTGTGGCTGCGGTTGCGGCTGTCGCTGCGGCTGCCGCTGCGGTTTCGGCCGCGGTTGCGGCCGCTGCGCCGGCTGGTCCCCGGCCGGCGCCGGCGGTCCGGCGGCGCTTTCCATACTGCCGCCAGCCGTCTTCTCCGGCACCTTGCCGATCTCTTCATTCCTGCTGTAAAACTGCTCGGAGGAGGTGCAGTCCACGTCCATCCACCACTGGCACGCGAAGCCCGCCTGGTTGAAGATGGTGCCGTTCGGACAGAGGAAAGAGAGCTTCATGGCGCTGCCGCCGGGCTGCGGGATGCAGACGTGGAACGGCTGACAACCCATCTCGACGTCCGCGTAGTAACCTGCGACGGCACGGCGAGGTGCACTGTGTGACCATGCCGCACCAACGTCAGGCTAGTGACGAGCTACAGCTGTGAGAAGGACGATCAAAACGGGTTGAGGAGAGGCATGGGCTCGTAGGATATTGAGTTTTTTGTAGTTTGTTAGCGCTTCATTTATTTGAGGCGCATTTTAGTCGGAGTTTCTGTCGCCAAAATTGCAGTTGCAGAGGTAGGCGGCATATGACCAAATGCTGTGGGTTAAAAAGCCTGAGTGTACGGAGGGAGACCTCATAAACGCTGCCAACCAATGCAAGAAATGGCAATGACAAGAAACGTAACACAAACACGTTATACTGTCTTAGACTGTTGATTACATCATGCCGAGACATCTGCTGTGAAGCATGTCATTCATCCCTCTGGACCACTCATACAGCACGTTGCACGCACCAAGCTGTCCCAGCCACACAGCATGCCGCACAACACAGTATGCCATCAGGTACACTGACCGGCGAGTTTGTCGTCGCAGGAGAAGGCCGTGGGCGGCACGGTGGCGAAGATGGGGTAGTCGACGCCAGGCTCCCCGGGCACGGCTTCCCGCAGCCACTGCAGCGGGTCTGTCGAGCCGTGGTGGTGGTCCTCCGCCTCCTCGGGGCCCTGCATGACGACCAGGAGGTGGGGTGGGGGTGTTGGACGCGGCTGCCCGCCTTTGTGTTGTGTTAAGACAGGATGGCGCGAGGTGAAACACGGCGGAAAGCATGCAGCGCCAGGCGAGGGAGCATTCCTTTTTAACCTTGTCGGTGTACTTATACAGATGACACAAGCCTTCTAGTACTTCCAACTCACATACATCATGACTGACGCGGTCTAGAACATCAGAGTAAAACGGGAATCAAAACGGCTTTCATTCTTTCAGCAATCTCCAACCAGATCGCCCATTAAGGTTGTCAGATCTCGAACTCTCTCACGCTCCCATGCACACACCTGCTATAGGGACTTACCTTAACCATCTCCTCGTTCTGGGTGTTGGCGGCGCCATCGGTGCCCCGGTCCGGAGCGGCGGTGGGCATCGGCCGGGTCGGGGCGTTGGCGGGCCTCTCCGTCACCCGGCCGGGTCTGCTGGTGGTCCGCTCGGGCTCGGGGTTGGCCGGCGGCCGCAGCGTCAGGCCACCCTGGGGCTCCTCGTAGTTGTAGTTCTCTCCAGCCGCGACGGCGGCCAGTGCTGCGGCGAACGCATTCGGACCGGCTCACCAATTCGGCAGCGAGGAGCTCACCCACTCGGCAGCGAGAAGACCACAAACTCGGCAGCGAGGAGATCACCAAGACGGCAGCGAGGAGCTCATCCACTCGGCAGCGAGAAGACCACAAACTCGGCAGCGAGGAGCTCACCAAGACGGCAGCGAGTTCACCAACTTGGCAGCGAGAAGACCACCAACTGGACAGCGAGGGCCTCACCAAGACGGCACCGAGGACTTCACCAAGTCGGCAGTGAGGAGCCCACCAACTCTACAGCAAGGAGCTCACTAACTCGAAAGTGAAGAGTTCACCAACTTGGCAGTGGTGACCCCATTGGCCCGGCAGCGAGGAGCTCACCAGCTCGGTGGCGAGGACTTATGGGGACCTTCCTTTAAGACCTTAAGGCATCTGAGCCTCACGCTGCCCGGCTTTACGCGCAGAAACATTACCATGGCCACCCCATGCGCACATACACGCAAGGAATACAGGCTAATGCGCCTAGGCTGCGCCAATCCCGGCATGGGTGTTCAGAGGGCTGGAAACGCGGTTGGGTATGTAGCCATCTTATGCGACTATGATTGTGTCAAGCGTTTGCACGCGTTGCCTTGGGAGAAAATGGAGGTATCGAAACAGTGAAAAACCTGCATACTACATGTGGCTTGATGTGCAGCTATTTACAGGCCGCCATTTGATTCTGCTTCGTCGTGCGATTCGATCCCTTAAGTACATCGCAACAATATTGTGACGGCGGAACCCGCAAAAGTGCAATTTATCGATGCAGCCAATTGCAGTTATTCTCCATCATTTCAATCTTCCTGTCTCCGTTCAAATATTGGCTACTCATGCCCCTTTATAAGGTTGTCTATAGCCCCGAGCACTTGTGGCATGACTGTCTGCGTGTATGGGGTTTTATGGGGACCGTCTGTGGATGATCTGTGGTTTGTAAAACCGGTTTGCATCATACTGCATTTGGTGGGTTGACACGAACAATTGGATTTGAGCCGTTTTGCGTAATGATCGGTATGGTCATACTGCATTGTTTTGCGGCTTGACTGCCAATCACTGCTGCAGATATCAGAGATATATCAGTTTGGATTTTCTTAAAAGGGGATGGAGGGGACGATAAAGCTCAGTTAGCACGCATCACACGATCGCTAGCCTTCTGTCGGAAGCCATCTTTGGTGACAAAATCTGGATCACTTAATGGACCTGACAATGGAACATGCATCGTGCGTTCACTGAGCCGTAGCATAGGGAGAAGAGAAACTGTTGGCATATTATGCCATGACCTGACCTGCGGTGCCGCGCATTTCCAAAAACTGAGCGAAAGGGTGTCTTCAAACATGGAACGTTTTTTACGTGTTTCAGCGCCCACCATGAATTTCTTTGTACTGTCAGGTTCACTCTAAGAGGGGTCATGAGCTCTTATGCTGGGTCATCAACCCTAAACATACCAACAGGTAGTCCTAAAAATACGTTTTATAGGAAGCATTGTTTGCATCCACAACACATGACGTTTTCAGCCGAGCTTATGGTCATGAGTCACCATAGGCACATATTTAAACATGGATCGCCACTTTTGCCACTGCTCTATGACGTCACTGAGTCAATGCCTCCTGACATACTGACGAAAGATAATCCAGCATAAGAACTCGTATACCTAAAAATAACGCAAAAAGGAGCTGAATATCTTTTGTATTTACATTTAAAAGAAGTTTCCGCCAACAGTTTTATTTCAATACAAACAAGCGCATGGGCTTAAGTAAACATTTACAACTATCGGCAGTCCGTCCAGGCACTTAATACAATCTAAGCAAAGGTATTTTCCAATGAAATTGAGAAGTACGTCGCAATTGGCATTCATAATGCTTTAAGTCAACAATTATACGCGTAAACAACACCATGCGCCTTCGACTTACCGCAGAGTACGGCTATGCTCAGCATGTTTCCACCCATCGCCTCGAAAAACAACTGATGCCGCGCCCGCCAAACACTTACTATTTATACCACCATTCGGGGCGCAGGGTAATTGTGGCGCCCGGGTCACGTGACCACGGCCGCGGAGCCGGGCCGGGCCACGTAGCGTGGGTAGGCATTGCCACTTTCACTGGTGACTGCGCGTGTCGGGGCTCCGGCTGCGTGCACTTGAACTTCAGCCCGGCCCCCAATGTCATCCGCGTCGTTCGCGGCCGTGTCAAACGCCGGCATGACCTCAGGCGGCAGAAGACGCATCAGCCCTCAGGCAACGGCGAGGTCACGTCAGAACGTCACGGCGGGGGACAGCGTCCTGGTGGGGTGGGGGGGGGGGGGGGTTAGCAGCGGTTCAGTATTTAGGGGGTGAACGCAAGCGTGATGACCGGGAGCTGTGCGGTAACTGGGTCAGGGCGAAAATAAATTGTTTCATGTAGAGTTAAGTCACGAAACACAAACGCTGTAGTTGTAGAGCTGCTCACATGCAAATAATTTAAACATATATCATCGTCATTCGTCATGTACTTTCCGAGAAAGACGTAAGATTTCTTGGGCAGCCATCAGCCTGTTTTTTTAGTCAAATTAATGATATTTCTGTATACCTTCTGGAGGTTTTTCGTGCGCGTAACTTTGATACACTTCACCTTTCGGAATCACGCAAGATTTACAGCGTGAACAAGTTGCACGGGTGTTATGGTGTGGAATTGGCCGAGGTCAGGATAGCAAGACACGATAAAGACTGATGGAGCACACGCGAAGTGGATATATCGGACCTACGTCAGCTCATACCTAGCGGATGCCCTTTCTGCCATAGAGATATCCACTCCCTGACACTGTCGACGACGTGTTCTAGGCCATCGGTGATCGGCCATTACACCAAGCTGGGAAGGACTAATTCCGCCGTCTGGCATTCCGTGGTAGGAGGTGTGTTCGAACCGACCAATTCAGCAATACGAGTGAAAAAGTACGATACCTGATCAAAGGCTTAAGCTACCGAAGAAGGAGCGTCTATCTAGTGAACAGATATTCAGCGGTTGCCTCGGTAACTATTAAGCCTTCGACGTGTTGCCTTACCCGATATCGCGCGTAGTTCGCCCCCCCCCCCCCAAATAATCAATGCACCTTTCGGGGGAGGTCAAATCGCCCCCCCCCCACTCGAGCGGGTCGCGCTCAGCCGGGCGCCCGCGCGAGTGTTAACACCCACGGATCACTCGAACACGTTGCTCGTGAAACGCTGTTCCGCGCACGCGGGACCTTGAATATGCATCATTGGCTGTGGTTCCCGCCCATCTCGCACAGCGAAATGGGCGGGAACAGCTCGGCCTTTGCTCATGTTGTTTCTCCTATAAAGATGAAAATGTCTCCCCGCTAAATATCAAAACACACACCCCTTTTCGCACGTGCTGTGACTGTGCGTGGCATCGAAAGGGTGTAAATGTATGCCGTGAATAGTCACGAAGGCTGAACCAGTCGTGCGTGCAAAATTGACGGTAATTCGTGCAGTCGCCTGTGCTGTGCGCCTGGCTAAAGAAATGTGCACACACAGGCCTACAGACGCATAAGCTCTTACTCTATTAGATTAAACTATAGTAGATTAGATAGTTGAATACTTGCATCTTTTGGCTTTCCCAAACGTGCGAATTAGACCTACAATACAACTAAGGTGCGTCACTCATCTTTTTCTCTCCTGATTTGCCTCTGTCGTCGTGGAATCATCTATTTGCCTCACCATTTTCTCGTTCATCCCCGTTCACATGAAAGAAGCGGGACTTCTTGACTTGCAGTGTGCAATCTACGAGAACTTCACATTGACCGTCGATTCATGCTTTTGTATAGCATTCCTCAAGCATGTCTCCACGAGTCCCTACCGCAGCATCCACCGGCCACGCTAGTGTATAACAAAATTTGAAAACGGTCAAACAAAAACGCTTGGAAAAGGTAGCACAGTTGATCCCAAAATGACCAAGTGATCACAAACCGCCTAGGAGCAAACACCATCTCTGCCCACTCTGAGACTCGCTGTCGCCCCGGGGCGGGTCAGCGCGGCGGCGGCGCGGCCGGGCGGGCGAATTCGGCACCTCACGCACCTCCCGGTAATCGCGTGGGCCGCCCGCTCCGGCCGGCCGCGGCGCGCCCCGAGGAGAGGACGACGCGCGGCCGGCCACTGACCGCCACATTCCCGGCGCGGCACCGCGCCGCGATCGGCGCTGGCCGCTGCCGCCCATCAGATTATGACGTCGGCGCCGGCCGCTGAGCCGCCGGCCGGCTGTTGACCGTGCTGACCCTGTCAGACTGCGGCGTCAGCGAGGATGACGGAGAGGAGAGGGCGTCACGCTGATCGGATGTGTACGGCGACTGGTGGCGGGACCGGGCCGTATCAGGTGCGACCCCGCCGGCTAGTCCTGTCACAAATTAGCCGCAGAGGGAGATTGCATCAGCTCTCGTGCGCGGCCATGCGCTGCGGCGGAAGGACGCATATTTGCCACGCGTCCTTAGCGGCTGACTCCAAATGCGGCAGCAAAATTAGGATAGATGAGGAATTTGCGGCTAGCTTTGCCAGTTTTCCACATGTCTGCAGTCCGCTTGTTTTTCTGCAGCATCCCTCACTTGTTCTGCGTTGTTACAATTCTTATGTTGGCAGCTAGCGAACCCAGCATTGTCTTGCGTGAGGCCATCCTCCGTTTTCATTTTCTAGAGGCACCCGGTCGCCGCGCCCAAGTGACAAAATCCAAAGAAATATGCCTCCAAAGATAGGCACATGCTTCAGCTGTATGGATGCCATTCGAACAGGCATGCAAGCATGGATTGTTCAGGGTTATATGACATCACCGGTCAAAGGGGCTGCTCCTACTACACAGTAAGTTGATTGAAATACTTTTTATTATTAAATTATCCTGAATAATTTGATCTCCTTTTTATCGACATTTCGTCCTTTTCGTTCAGTAATTGTGCAGTCTTTGCCACATCAAGGGAGCAATGAGAGTCGAATACACGATGGTTGTGCCATCGATTTCGCAATTCAGACGCATGTAAGGACTAACACTATGGTTTGAGCCGTAAAGCCGGAGCACGATATTGTAAATATGCATACAACCAGCGGAAAAAGCAAACTATTATGTGTACTTCCGGTATGAGCGGAAGCTTGTTAACTAATATTACGAGTCAAGATGCATTCATGACATACATTTTCCTTAAGCTCCTTAAGCCCTCCGAAAGCTTCTCTCTGCCTCACTCCTGGAGCAGAAACCCACCAGTCCGGGTTAAGAGAAGTCATGAAACAAGACGTGCCTTTTCGGGTGTGGTCTATGACTCGTGGCTCATTCAGAGAAGCATTGCATTGCAGAAAAGATGAAGCTGCTCGAACACGTGAGAACAAATTTTCTGCAAAAACAAATGGTATTACCGCTACCATTCCTGATGGTCTTCCTTCAAGCGGCGGAGGATCATTTACAGCTTGAAGCGACGCCTAACTGTGTACTGACCTCTGCCATATCATTAGCCGATGAATTTCCATTGAGCAGGCACCGTGTTTGCGGAAGCGCGCACGTCGCATGGTGGCGGACCGGCCGGCGGCAGGCGGCGCAGGTCAAAGGTCGGTGACCGCGCCATGTCGGTCAGGATACACGCGTGGCCTGTGCGCCGCAGGAGCAGCACGCGTTGTGCGTGGCACTGGTCCACCGGAGCGGGCCGCACCAAGATGGATCTGGACGCCTCTGGCTGTGACGAGCCCAGTCATCCGATGACTGATAATGCTGGGCGCCGGCTGAGCAGGAGCGGCCAGGCGCCGGCCCTTGGCGGCGCGGAGGCGGGCCTCTTCAGTTATCACAGCCTGGTATGTATTTACCCTCACCTACCCGCACCTAACATTTTCTCTGGGTGGGAGGCATGACTAAAAATTTTGGGCTAGGCTGCACTGAGGCCATAGTAACGTTGACTTTGCCAGTTTGGTGCATTATGTTGACTGGGATAAATTGTTAATGATTTGCATGCCAGCAGTGATGTTTTGGTGTGCTTGAGTCCCTTATAAGCAAAACTCAAACACATTTGTCACAGGAATGGTAAAAAACAAACATCATGCTGCTTTAAGTGAATGGCTAATGATTCCGTAACTAAACTTTATAAACTTGAAATAAAGGGGCAAGAACCTGTATAGTTCAGCTTTATAACTGTCTACTCGTACCATTCTTAATGAACAGTTACTGTAAGAAGCCCTTCATTACCTTTGTCGCCGTCTATTGGTTGTCTGACTTACTTTCCAATGCTAGAATAAAACAAGAAGTGTAATATGGGTTTATGGGAACCGACATGCTTAGGCCACACCACACAGGCTTCAGGAAAAAAATAAGCTGGACAGAGAAGCAGCTGAAACGTCACTGGGGCTGGCATGCGTGTTAGCGGCTCAGGGATCATGCGAGCAGAAAGAAGTTAGATACGAATCCAAAATCCCCCCTCCCCCAGGCGCAATTTCTTACGAAAGTGTCCCTGTGAAGTTATTTATATTCAGTTAGCGGCAGTTAGTTATATCCACAGTCATTTAAGTCAGCGAGGTAATACATCAAAGGAAAATGGCATTCAGGCCAAAGCCATGCAGGTCTGAGGCATAAAGTCAGGTGCAAAAAGTCGACAAGCAACAAGACAAGCGACAAGCGTCCCGGTGCATGGTCTTTTCCGCCCGCCCGCCTTCTGTTGCCTGGTGCCGGCTGTGGCAGCCGACGCCGTACGGCCAATGGACATTGCAACACCGGATGTCGGCAAGTGAACGCTGAACATATGTGGCCTCGGAAACAGCATAGACCCTTCCGGGCAATCATTAAGAGCTCAGGACCAAAGTGGAGAGCCCGGAGAGATGAGCGAGGTTCGAACAATAAATATGAAGGTCAACAGCTCTCTCCTACAGTAGCGAAAGGCAAATGGGTGGAAAACCCTATACCAGTACAAATAAGCCTCTAAACTTCGAGTGTGTTTGGGCAGGTTAATTCACAAAACCCCGATAACAGCGCAGGGACCTC